ATTTGTTTTATGGAACATTGGTGATGAAATCTTTTAGTTTTGATCTGGAAGATATCGTAATGAAAAGAAAAGGCAGGATACACCCTGGACAGGACACCAGGTCATCGCAGGACACACACCCACTCACACCAGGGAGGGACATTTTTTCTAACTGCACCAGGAGAAAACTCACATAAATGCAAAATGAACATTCAAACTCCACACAGACAGCACTCAAGATCCAGAATTGAACCGAGGCCCCCAGTGCCACAAGGCAGCAATGCTAACCTCCTGAACCACAGCGTTGCCCACTAACCACATGTTGAAAAATAGTAAAGAGAAAGACATTGTTTTGGCTGTTGAGCTTTCTTCAGGTGTGACACGTTTTTGCTGGTTATTTCAGAATATACGTGTTGATACATAAATGCATTGAAATATTGTTATACTGTATGTGTGTGATGCATCAGCTTTAGAGAGGTCTATAATCACAGCCGACTTGCCACTAGAGGCAGCTAAAGGTTCTAACATGCCTGTAAATAGTCATAGTGTTGCTTACATTGTTAATAATTTGTTAATTGGTAAAGGGTGTAGAAACATATCTGTGTTCCCTGCAATGGAATGGTGTCCCATCCAGGGTGTATCCCACCTTGTGCCTGTTGCTTACAAGGAAAGTCTCTGGCTTCCTCGTGACCCTGTTCTGAATGAAGTATTTTGAAAATGGATGGATGCAGAAAGGTTTTGGTTTGCTCAAAAACAGGGTTTAGTGGTACTGTAGTTTGTTTTTTTGGTGAACAGCTTTTTGTGTTAGCTAGATTGTGTCCTGTAAGGTACTAGGATCAGGCTTGAAGGTTGTAAAGCTACTGTCCACCAATATCTGGAGCATGCAGTTGAATTTATTAGTTCTTCAATAAGCATGATTTCCTCAGTGTTCTATTCCAGGTCATGCAATGTGGAAGAGGTTTTCTTTCTATAAAAAGAAATATGACATGATGTAAAAACATGTAATGTTAGAAAATACCAGCACTCCCAGTACAGACTGTCTAATACAATAGATACAGTGCCTTTGAAAAGTATTTACCACCTTCCAATGTCCTGTTTGTGTATACAAATCATGTATTATCGTTTATGAATATTATTAATCAAAGCTTGATTAATCAAACTGAACACTTAGAGGTGACAGAGGTTAAATTTTAAAAACAAGTATTCACTGAATTGAGTCTAAACAAAGTTTGCGTAACACAGCACATGTGCCACATATCTTGAATTTACTTTTCTTCTTGCAACAATCTCAAATATACCCAGCAGCTATGTCACTGTGCAGCTCATAGCTCAGCAGTGTGAGCCTGGCCAGTACCTGGGTGGGAGACTCCTGGGAAAGCTAAGGCTGCTGCTGGAAGAGGTGTTTGTGGGTCCAGTAGGGAGGTGGAGGTGTGTTTCTGTTCACTTGTTTTGCCTTCCCTGCACTGCACCTGCCTTTACCTCGATTCTGTCTTTTAAAATCTCATTTTGTCTATATTCCCTTAAATTTTGCTTTTAGTCATTTTCCCCTGCAAATAAAGCCTCATATCATTTTGTTACCCCGGTAATTGGACCGTTTACCAAAACAGTTGATATTGACAAAACCCATCTGGTGTGTGATGTCTTAAATTAAAACCTAGAATGCACTTGTATACATACTGTATATATACATGTGTTAATCATAGATGTAACATTCATTATTATAATTTGGGGAGTGTTATAGGACAAATGCTGCTGCAAGGGGAAAAGAAATATCATTATTTTGGTTGTTGAATTCTGTTTTATAGAACACAAACATTGAAGGTTCATGTACTTTTTCATATATTGTATTACTGTTAAAGTAATGTGTTCTTATAAGATGGGGAGATTTCTAACTTCATGCAAGTGGATAAAACAAACATTTAAATAACTATTTTGGTTCTGGAATTTGGGTTTTTGCAGAAACACAATTTACCTAATCTTCAGCAAGAAACATCTTAAAACACCAACAGTGCCCCATCACCTTCACAGGACTTCAGCATCAGGCAATATGAGTGAGTATATTGAGAAATGATAATGATCTCACAGTTGGAGACTCAGGAGTCAACAACTCAACAATTGTTCATGAAACTGGACTCAAGTTGTAATGCAACCCCACAGACACACCAGCCCTCCAGGATGAGCATTGGTCACTGCTCCTTTGAAGATTCAATTATAATCCCTTCAATCAGATGCAAGTTTCCTGTAAGAAATAATGTGAAAATGAGGGGTGTGTTCCAACCTGAATTGGAATTTGACATTGTTACACGTTTTACTGCTATAGTATGACTATCTTTTCATGCTTTTAGGTTTTGTCCTTTCAGGTATGTGTTATGCCCAAATGTCTTTAACAGAAAAAAGACAGAAATGACAGAGGTAAGCTGAAGTTAAAGAAGTGTGGGCATGTGAAAGAAAATGGGCAATACAGCAGGAAGAGAAATTGTCCAAGTACAGATGTGTTTGTTTGAAGACAGTTTTAACACTTTTATACATAAATATAACAAACCTTTGGAATTTTTTAGTTATAGAATAAGAAGGAAAACACAATTCTAACACCCATGAACCGAATCTTGACTGAATGGTTGCAGTAATTATTCATTTAGCACTTTGTGTAACCTTAACATTTTACGTCCTGCTGCTAGAAGAGTAACACAGTTCAATTCAATTCAATTCACCGCACTTCCTCAAATGTTTCACCTCTTCACTTAGTTCACACTGCTAGCACATTTTCTTCTAGTGCTTAATCATAGTGAATTTGAGCTGATCACTTCTCTAAGTCTCCTACAGGTCTTCTTGTTATTTATTTTTGAGGGTCTAGAATGTAAACGGGTTGAGCTGCAAGTTCACTCCCATCACAGCAGCATCTCTATAGCTAGAAGGAATAGAGCAGGAGGATCTACTGCATTCTAGAGAAAAGCAGTGCCTCTGGGGTTTCTTTGGCACACTGGAATTGGGGTATGGAGAGGGCACACAGAATCTGGAGTATTTATTCTGAAGCATTTGTGATTCAGAGATAGACCGTCGCTTTTGTTAAAAACATGCTGCCTGAGCAGACCTAGATGTCTCTTCTTTTTCAATATGGCACCACATTCCCTTGTCCAGCATAAGTTTTATCTGTTGATGTACAGATCTGTTGTGTGTGAACATTTTATTAGGTGTGATGAATAGTAGTCTGAAACTTTTTTGAAAAGGCAGCAATGTTCAATATTTGATGTTTTCATAGGTGTCTTGCTGTTTGGTGTGGAAAGCTCAGGATTTGCCCAGATGGGATTACCCCCAGTTGACTACAATGACAGTTTTTATTACCATGCAAAACATGTTGGAAGTCTGAATGGCTTCTCTCACATCCTGTTCAGTCCGTCTGGTATAATGTATGCGGTCCGTAATGCAGACATCTATGCAGGCTCTCCTCCAGTGAATCCGGATGAAGACTGGCTGACCACTAAAGCAAAGTGTGTTGGCAAAGGAGAATGGGATCAGTTTCACTCCCTCTTCTTCCATCCAGAAGGCAGCCTCTATGCTGTGACAAAAAGTGGGGAATTTTACAAGGGTCCCCCTCCCGAGAATGAGTATGTGTCCTGGAGGTACAGGGTTGCTACTAAGATAGGAACTGGAGGATGGCTTTTCCCTTCTCTGTTCTTTGACCCTGAGGGTATCCTGTATGCTGTGACATCAGAAGGGAAGCTGGTTAAAGGAAAACCTCCAAGTCACATGAATCAAGACTGGCTCAGTAATGCCGGACTTGTTGGAACTGGAGGCTGGGGACAACTTACCCTTTTCATGGCCTTCTCTCCTGATGGCAATCTGTGGTGTGTCTCCAAGGATAAAGGGAAGATCTACTCTGCTCCACCACCAGAGTTTGCCACCGATAACTGGCTTGAAAGAGCCCAGAATCTTGGCATTGACTACAATCGCTACCAGATACTTGCCTTCACGCAAGATAAAACCATTAGCAAAGTTTTAAGCTTAGATTTTGAGGTCAACATTGCCAAGATCCTTTCCAATGTCCCTCTGACCGTTGGGCAACATGACTGTGACAACACTGCGGGCACTGTTCCCTACACTGCTACTTTCCAGTGAGTATTTCACATTCAGTCTGAGATGACTAATATGTATTAATATGCACATTATCTAATCTATCAAGATTTTTCAAAATTAAGTAATTAAAATTATGTCTAAAAGTAACTTTCAGATAATTGTTCTTAAAGATTTTCTCTGCCATTTCTCTTCTACCCAAGGGCTGATATTGTCTTTGGATGTCTAAATTAGATTGAAATTCAAAGGACATCCCTCACAAGCCTAGCTCTTAAATTTTCATTCTCTTCCTCCCAATTTCCTTCAAATCCAGAGCTGGTATTCCTCCATCTCATCCCTGTTCTTAAACATTCAAGCATAGTTCCTGGATTCTACCCTTGATATAATGTTTAATGTCTTTTACTAGTAATATTGTACATCTTGATCTGAAAGAATGGCCAAGGAAACAGGATGGCATGGTGATGCAGTGGTAAGAATGAGTGTCAGTGCCCTGGGTTCAATTCCAGACCTGTGTGTAGCTTGTGAGTTGAGTCTGATTGTGTCTGAGTGTGCCCAGTGATGGATTGGAATCCCATCCAGGGCATATTGTGTGTTGGGATAGGCTCTGGCTCCCCTGAGATGGGTGGATATTTTATTTACCAAAGGAAACTATTGTATTTTCAACTGGCTAGGTTTTCTGAGACTCTTACTCTGGAAAGCTCCTTTTCCCATGAGCATGGATTTACTGTGGCAGTTGGGGCATCGACAACCTTCAAGGCTGGAATCCCAATGATCGCGGAGAATGAAACTACAGTCACCCTGGATGTCAGTACAAGTCATACCTGGAGGTTTACAGAGACGGAGAGAAAACAGGTAAGTTATCAGTACTGGATACAACTATGTAATGTATTGTAAATGCTCTCATTAGGTAAACACCACAATTAAGATAGAAAACCTGGATTACTGAGAGAATCAAGACTTATGAGTTTTGTTTAAAGACTTTTAATGAACTTATTTATTTTTCACTATACCAAAGTTTCCTGAAATTCTTACATAATTGAAAAAAGACTGTTTGGAATTAAATTTTTAAAATGGAGCTGTGATTTTAGGGGTTTTTGCACTTCTAAAGTGCAAATGTGTCATTTATATATAGCACATAGAGATTGTAGATCCCGTTCCTCTATATAATTTGGCTCTTGATACAGTGATGAGGTGAACATAGACAGTTTCGTGTCAACAACTGAATGGCATGAATAAGGAGTTCGGAAGCTGCCCAGTTATGTGGTTTCAGGAAATGGCTGGATGAGATTTGGGATCAAGTAGCTACTAACAAAAAAAAGGCTGAAAGACCTCTTGTCATTTGTAGCCTTGCTTAAGTTCCCATGTTTGAATAGATCCTTCTTATATGTAGATATGGACAAATATTGTTAATAATCATTAGGATTGTTTAAAAGCTGTGGTTACTACACTTACTATGTTACAGCTCGTTATTTATCCAAACTTCATGTTCTTTTAGGTATTCCAGCAGTATTTTCTGCAGTTCAGTTCTGCATTAAAATATATGCCTTAGATACTCCTATTTCTTATGACTTTTTTACAGAATTTAAAATGTTGAGACATTTCATAGGTCTGTCTCTGTGTCCAAGAAACATAAAGGTCTGTATATAATGAATTCAGATATGAAGCAGAGACAGATTGGGGATAGACAAAACATTTTCAGCCCTGCGCCTGAACCTTTGATATTAGCTTTGGTCCTAACAAATGTAATTTTTGTTTTGTAAAAAGTACCTCCAGTTCTCAGCTCTCAGTGCATTTACCCATCATGTTCCCCTCTCTGCAACTCCCAGTCATTTGTGTGTCAGGGTACTTCTACGCCTTTTTCCTCTGTTTACTCTCTGCACTCTTTTCCCATGATAGTATCTTCTATACATTATATTCTATACATTATGTATTTATGTAAATTAATAGCATCTCATCTACAGCTGGTAGAATACCATCAAATGGTGTTAACCTCTCTTAAGTGTGCCTTATACCTGTATCCCCTGCCTTTTCCATGTCTAAATTACATATAAAGCTTAGTCCTCCGACAGCCCATGTAAACAGCTGAGTTAAATATTCAGTTGATTCACCTGATAGTATCCATCACTTATCTTCACCATACTAATCCACCAACAAATCTTGAACGTTCCTCTTTCTCCACAATGGACTCTACATACAGATGTAGCCATTCAAAATGAGCGGTACAGACACGTACCGCAGGTAATTGGCTGCGGTATCGCGTATCATGACGCAATATGACGCGGTGCGTGATTGGTTGACTGACAGGGGCACTCGTGGTCCGTTTGTCTGTCGTAGAAAGACTTACT